TGATGGATATTGTCTAACTGAATTTGAATAGTTTGAGAAAAATAAGACAAATTAAAACAACACATTCCTGGGAACTGTTCACATCCCATATGTTCTTTTAACAGTAGATAGTCTATAGTCGCACGATTTTGGAGCACTGCAACTTGCACTTCTAATTCTTGGTTGAGTTCCAACAATATAGATCCAGTCAAATTTGTTGTTTTACTGTATGCACAGGCCAGCTTAGATATCTCCTTCTTCATTCCAACGGCAAGTCCAGGAACTGGTGGGATGAATGCAGCTACAACTGCAGCAGCGCCAGGATCTTTGTTGAAGTTTTTTGATGATAATCTTCTGGAATGACTCTTCCAGAGGATGTTGATGTATAACACATTTTTAATACCATGGAAAATTCTATAATGGGAATGGACTATAGAAACTCAGAGTCAAGAAAGGACCCAAAGATTTAACTTTGGAACTGACTGATACAAAGGAATTTAGCAGAAGGGAAGGTGGTGGAGTTGGGGAAGACCTTCCAGATTAAGAATGATTGCAAAAAGAGAAATGTCAAAAAGATCATTTGGAAGTCTGTCATGGGCTTTGGACTCTGATCCTGGACTCCCTGTCTCAGTTCATGCTCCCCTTTTAATCCTTGTTCTCCATTCTCCATTAGCCAATTCTTCTGGTCACCCTTACACTCATCTTCTCTAAAGAGGTTTCTATTATTTTTTTCTTCACCCTAGTATTTCAGCTCCCATTGATTATTTTTCTATACTGCTTATCTCATTTTTCCTCTTACTGTTTTTTGGTCAGATACCAAGCCCTTATTTAAATGTCATCAGTATTTATTCATTCTATACACTTAGTATCAGTAGCCAAATGCTATGTTACATAAAACATCTTCATTTTTTCCCCCTCCAGGATGGAAGAGCAGTCACAGAACCACAAAGTCAACTCAAACACAAGATTCCTTTCAGGAGCTGATAATGACAAGATCCAAAAGGCATGGACCCTGGGACTTCAAATCAGAAAAACCCTGCCCATGTGAAGACAAATATGAGAAAAAGCAGGAGAAAAAAGAAAGTGTTCAGATAGTTTCACTCACCCACAAAATCTCTACTGTAGAAAGAAAACATAAAAATACTGAATTTAGCCGAAGTTATAGCCCAAAGTCAGCTCTTGTTAGGCAACAGATGATTCCAAGAGAAAAAACAACACCCAAATGTGAAATACAAGGAAACAGCTTCAAGCAGAATTCATATTTACTTAATCAACCGAAAATCAACACAGTAGAGAAACGCTATAAATGTAGTATATGTGAGAAAACCTTCATTAATACTTCATCCCTCCGTAAACATGAGAAAAACCATAGTGGAGAGAAATTATTTAAATGTAAAGAATGTTCAAAAGCCTTTAACCAAAGTTCAGCACTTATTCAGCATCAGATAACTCATACTGGAGAGAAACCCTATGTATGTAAAGAATGTGGGAAAGCCTTCACTCTAAGTACATCCCTTTATAAACATTTAAGAACACATACTGTGGAGAAGTCCTATAGATGTAAAGAATGTGGTAAATCCTTCAGCCGAAGGTCAGGACTTTTTATACATCAAAAAATCCATGCTGGAGAAAATCCCAATAAATATAATCCAGGTAGGAAGGCATCCCTTCCTGGATGTCAGAGACTACATCTCCGAAAGAAGACCTATTTATGCAATGAATGTGGCAATACCTTTAAGTCTAGTTCATCCCTTCGTTATCATCAGAGAATTCACACAGGAGAGAAACCTTTTAAATGTAGTGAATGTGGGAGAGCCTTCAGTCAGAGTGCATCTCTTATCCAACATGAAAGAATTCACACTGGAGAAAAGCCCTACAGATGCAATGAATGTGGAAAAGGCTTCACTTCTATTTCACGACTTAATAGACACCGAATAATTCATACTGGTGAGAAGTTTTATAATTGCAGTGAATGTGGTAAAGCCTTAAGTTCCCACTCAACACTTATAATTCATGAGAGAATTCACACAGGAGAGAAACCATGTAAATGCAAGGTATGTGGTAAAGCCTTCAGACAAAGTTCAGCCCTCATTCAACACCAGAGAATGCATACTGGAGAAAGACCCTATAAATGTAATGAGTGTGGGAAGACATTCAGGTGTAACTCATCCCTTAGTAATCATCAGAGAATTCATACAGGAGAGAAACCATATCGATGTGAAGAATGTGGAATATCATTCGGCCAGAGTTCAGCTCTTATTCAGCATCGGAGGATTCATACAGGAGAAAAACCTTTTAAATGTAATACATGTGGGAAAACCTTTAGACAAAGCTCATCACGTATTGCCCATCAGAGAATTCATACTGGAGAGAAACCTTATGAATGTAATACATGTGGGAAACTTTTCAACCACAGGTCATCTCTTACTAATCATTATAAAATTCATATTGAAGAGAATGCCTAGAAAATAGATTTGCATGTGTAAAAAGCCTTAAACCAAAGCTCATCAGAATACATGAGTGATGTAATGGATATAAAAAATCTTTCTATAATTTAGCCTTCATCAGAATTCAATCCAAGGGTAAGCCTTGACTATGTAATAGATAATGAAGAAAGCAGAAAGTGTTCATGACTGTCAGATGCTTTTTAAAATAACCTGAAATGAATTCACAAGTGGAGACGTTGGTTGTAAAATGAATTGTTTTTCTCTACAATGTACACTAGATATCATGTGTGATTGTCATAAACATCTGAGTGAGGGGGTGTGCAGTGGATTTCTTATTTAAACTATATAAACTGGTAACACTTTTTTATAACTAACATTTAATAGCATATAAAAGATGTGATCAAATAAATTCTACATTTTTAGAGAAAAGGGCCAAATAAAAGATAAAAGTGAACTGTAAACTACCTCTTAGTTTCTGGGGTTTGTCCTTTTCCTGACCCAGTGTCAAACTTTGTGAATGGATTTCATTTAAAAATAGAAATAAACATCTGTTCTCTTCTTCCTTTGTACTTCTGGTAATTGCTGTGATTTGGGAATTTTCTACCCAATTCTTAATTTTCTCATTCTCAATTTTTTTTTTTTGCTCTGAAGTCATTTGTTATAAAAGTGTGCCTGTAATCTTAGGTATATTAAGTGGAAAAAAACCAATTCTTTCAAGTTTAAAGCTGTTATATATTTATATTTAAATTCAAAACAGGAGCTATCAAAAGAAGTTTAATGTATCTAATAACCTATGCCAAGATATTGAAAGGTTTATCAGTCATTTTATGACATAAAGAGTATGTTTTTTCCCTGTGCTGTTCTCCAGTGACAATTTCAGGAAAATAAAAAGTATTAACTTTATTTTTAAACTCCAGCTTTGGGGCAGGTACTATACTACACACTGAATTCTAAGAAGAAAGGACACAGGCCTTCAAGAAGCCATGAATTGGAAAGGATTGAATTAAGGGATTAGCAGATGGGTAAGCAAATTACTACATCACTGTGTATGTGTGGTTGTTTTAACAGGCAAACAGGTAAGTTATGACAATATATTGCAGTGCAAGAATGCTGTAGAGGTTACACAGCATGAAGGAAGATTAAACCTTATCAAGGGAACCTGGAGACATGAGAGCAAGATTTCCAGACACAGTGATGCCTAAGCCAGGTTTTGAAAGAATAGGAATTCTTGAGGGAGTGATTTCCACATCAGAGGAAACAGCATGTGTAAAGGTATAAAAGGATAATTATACCTGTGTGGAAACTCAAGCATAGAACTAATGAGGAAAGATAAAGTTTGAATAGGCAGAAGCCAGGTAACAAAAAGTTTAGTTGCCATGCCAAGAAGTATGGGTTTTATCCTGAAGTTGATGGTGTCAGTTCAGTTAAGCAAGGGAAACGGTTCTGGCAACAATAGGGAGAGGATGAATTTAGGGGATTGAAGAAAGCTATACAGAGTGATGCCTAGAAATCTGGGCTATTGTAATTCAAGTGATAGATGAATGAGAGTCCAAACTCAAGCAGGGACAGCAAGGGTGGAGAATGGAGATGGAATATATGAGGTGCGTTCACAAGCAGATAGGTGAGGTTGGTGAGGTTGGTGAGAAGGATGAGCTGACTCACAGGGCAGTTGCGAGGTATCCTGTATATACAGGACATGCCCTGTGTTTAATGGTTTGTCCTGGATCTTGTATTGACTTTGTTAGGCCACCCTTAGTGTAATCAGTTGTGCTTTTTTTCAATAAAAAAGTTCAGTTAGAACCTTTTTCTCCTTCAGTAATTGGCAATTACTTGAATGGCAATACTAGCTAAAAATCATACAAGCACAAAGATCTGAACAATCCTTTAGTCTCTTCTATTTTTGGCTGGGGTAGATTAAAAGGGGAAACAATTGAAAGTCTTGTTTTCCATATTAAAGAAGGAAAAGGGTTTGTTTGTTTGTTTGCCAAAGTCTCATTATAAACAATCACCATTAGAAGTAATTGTGTTGCTTTGCACACATGCTCTGAAAATCAGCAACAGTGGCTTCTGAAAGTAAGTTCATCATAGACTCCAGCTTCTGAGTGTCAGCCATGCCTCTAGACAACAATGGGCAAATGCCTCACTCCAGTGACCATATTTCTGAAAGTATGCTAGTTAGTAATAGCATTGTACTGCAATCACAGTAATACAGGTGCAACTCTGTTAATGCATAAACAGTCCTGCTTCTGAAAATCTTCCAGTCCCTAGACAGCTTCTATGCTCAGCTCTGGATTTCTTTGAGGAGGCTGTTTGCAAATACAGCTCTCCCTTGCAGGCATACACGAAGTTCACCTTTTCTGCAACACTTATCCACTTCAATGTTTAAATAGTGTGCAACTGTTTCAATAGTTCACCCCAAATATACCATTATACTTCAACCTCTTGAGTGAAAAATGCACTGAGCCCATGAGATTGTTAAATTCAGTATTTTCAAACATGATTGCTACTATTTATTTGTGTATTTGAATCCCAAACGCTAGTGTAAATTTCATGATTAATTTTCAGGATTTTGTATATCTATAAAATGAGAAAGCCCTTTTGAAACTCAAACATGAAACTGTTCATTCAGTAACAAA